TCCGAGGAGATGGCCTCGATCGCCACGGCTCTGGCGAACATGGCGCGGATGAAGGACCAGCTCCGCTGCTCGGGCGTTGTGGGCGCACATACGTGGCGTCGAGGTGGCGAGGTCGGTGGAAAAAGGCCGGAAATCACACGGGAAGAATTGGAATCTAGCAGTCACAAGACGGGGTGCCGAACTTGGAGGATAGGGGTGCCCAGAACATCCACTCACTGGATGGGACTAAAGACCACCCCGTCTTGTGACTCCTGGTAGCTCGTGGTTTCATGCTTTCTTTTTTTTGGTGGGAGGGGAGGGAGGATGGTTTTTGGGAGACGGTAGATTCTATTTGTTGTTTTTTTGAGAGCTTAGGGTTTGGTGCTTTAAAGATTTGAAAGAGAAAGGTGGACTTGAGTTGTTTTTCTTTCCCCTGGCAAGGGTGATGGAATCTCTGCAGCCCTGGCAAGGGTGATGGAAAGATGATGACATTGGGCACCCCAAACCGAGATGATCAACACATATCAACACATCCTCTTTTGGTCTATGGTGGGAGTGACAAGAACACCACCCTAAGAATCCTTGGGCTCTCTCCATGGGGGTCTGAAGCCCTCAAAACCGTGTGAGGGCCCGGATTCTTAGGGCAGAGTCCATTCTCCGATTGGCCGAGCCGGGGACGTGAATGACGCTGAGACGCAGCAACCGTGTCCGTCCCCCTGTCATCCGGTCAAACTCAAAGGATCGGAGTCGCCTTGTTCAAGGTCCGAGCTCATTGGACTAAATATGTGGGACAAGGCAAAACCAGGACACGAAACATGTTAAACCAGTCAAGGACCAGGTTTTAACATGGTTTAACGCCAGGCCCGTTGCCTGGGACTTGTGGGGCTTTTGTTGTTTCATTATTGCTATTCTTTTGGACATGATCTTTTCAGCATGTCGTCAGCCCCAAGCTGTTCATGTTTCAAGCCAGTTCCATGCATTGCACCGATGCATGTCGTCCCCGTTCCAATCACGGCTCATGGCTCAGCGACGGCGGCACCGCTACGCCCCACAGTAGAGATCCCCCAGCTCACCCAAACATGCATAAGACTGAGGTTCTGTTCAGCACAGGTGCCTGAACGAGCGCAGTCGGGTGGAGGGTGGCTTTTTCTTCAGTCAGACCTGTGAAGTCTTGTGGCTTTTAGGTAGATGGGAGATTCTTGCATATTCTTCCCCAGCATAGCAGCATAGTGCTTGTAAAACTTGATGCAGATACACGTTAAGACGCACCCACGGGGTGATTCCAGGATTTGTTGTAGACATAGTGGTGACGGGAATCAAGCCGTCTCCCAACGCTACGCTGGGCTGGTATTGGAGGAGGATGTGGAGATTGAAGAACTGATTTCGACTGACCTGGAGCGGGTCAACCGCTTTGCAAGTAGTAGGCAATGAATCAGGGAAATTGGTTTCTTCCAGTAGAAAGCTAAATTAGCCAATGTTGGATTCATGTTGGCACCAAAACAATTCAAGATTGGAAAGCATTTAAAGAAGCAGGTTGAAGATGAGGGAAGTAGGGAAGGCAAAACAGAACTTCCTGCTCATCCATTTTGTTCAAACACCGCACCTTTGTCTGAATGGAAGCTCATGAATCCAGATCCAGCAATGTTGCAATGTTTGTGAAATATTATTGTGTTCCTCTTTCAGCTTCCATGCCCAGCCCTCAGAACCGTTCGCACAAATCCTGGGGTCATTTTTTAGTTTTCTTCAATGACTTGAGCAACTGTGGCAGTGGTGTTGCAGGAGGAACCGCTGATTAAAAGTCATTCCTCCACCTCCAAAAAAACAAGGACGGGCCACACAAACACTGCTTCTATCAGTGCATGCGTGCCCCCAGCCATTTTCCGCCATTTTCCGCCAGTCGGACAGGAGAAATCTTGATTCCTGGTCGTTGGAAAGGTTCTATCCCAGACACTCCATGAATACTGCCACCAAAATGCCGACCCATTGACCCCTCCTTTCAACCATCTTCAACCGGCCGATCCGCGATGGCCACTGCGCTCGTGTCTAGTATTTTTCGCCGAGCCCTCCGGAGTCCAGTCCTCCATGGCAGTTCTATGGCAGTCCCAGACCTTCCGAAACTCCTCTCACTCGAGGATTCTGCAGAACTCCCACGATGAGTGAGCGGAGCTTCCCATCCGAAACCGCCAAAAACGTGGCACCGTTTGGTGTGGCATGTGCGGCGCCAAGCAGAAACAACAGCACAAATACAAACAAACAACCGTTTGATCTATATCGTACTCTTTAGCTTTTGATCTATTCTTTTTCAAAGATCGGGGTGCACCCTAGGTACCCAGGGTTTTTCTTGGGAAGAAAAGACCGACCTGTACCAGTCTGGGGAAGTATAGATTCCTATCTTTAAACATACAAATCAAGTTTAGTAGTGGCACACGTCATTGCCGCAAAATTTGGAAGCAAAGGATCAGGGTGTCCAAAGATAAGACAAGAAACAGCTGGAATTTCCATGAATTTCCATGACCAACTGAACTCCGGCCCCTCCCGACCCCACCAGCTCCAGCCGGGCCTATGCCGTTGAGCACTCAAACCCTTGTGTTTGGTGTCGGGTCAATCGACCTGACGTGAAGCCTGCTGTCGATGAAGCTCGCGGTCGAACGACCGACCTGGCGGTCGAACTCGGTGAAGATGCCAGCCGGGTCGGTACAGGTCAAAACCGGCAAACACTTGGCTGGACCGAAAAGGGAACAGAATCGACCAGGCAACACCGAGTTCGCTCTATGGACACCCCTGATGCATGTTCCATCCTAATAACCACCCAAAATCCGTGCTGGGATCTCCGTATTTTGACGCACGGCCGCACGTGGCGACGCACGCAATTTTTATTGGGCTCCCTCAAAAGGTGGGAGTTTCGGGGCCATTGGCGAAGAACATCCAGGCCGGTCACGAGGTATTTCTCGCGCAGCCCGACTTGCCGTTGGTTTCGTGACATGTCTTCAAGACCGACCCATTTACAATTTAAATCACTCCTTTCCAGTGGTTCTTCCCCTTCGTTAATTTCCAGCCATTCAGGATGAAAGTTCGAGTTCCAGCAGACTTGCTCAAAAGCTCTCCCAGAACCCACTTTGATCACAAAAAACACACATTTCTACGACCTTGCGCCTGACTGGTCACCTTCGCTGACGGCCCCAGACCAACCTTCTTCTCGCGTGCAACAACGCGACCCCCTGCCAAAGCGGACGAAGTGGACAACGCGGTTTCGGGAAGAACAAGAATGACATTCTGAAACCAGTCCCTACAAGTCCAAAGACCCTGTAAAATCTGTTTTTTTTTACCTCCTCCTCCAGTAATTTGTTTTATATATGTGTGTTTTTAAAGACCAATAAGGTCATTGTATTCCCTTGTCGTCGATTCGGTTGATTGGGTGGTCAACCAAGGTTGTTTTGCCCCACCACGTGAAAGAACACGTGGGACCGTCGCATCATGTGTTGCGTCGTCGTTGAGACCGCGCGGTCAAGCCGCAGGTGGGCGGGTGGGGCAATTCGATGCATCCGTCCAGAGCACAGCCGTAGTAGGGAATTGACAGCCGTGTCTGACTGGGCCCCTGGCCCCTTCATCGAGCCGAAGAAGTGATTTCTGGCGAAGAGATCGAAGCATCGAATGGGATTCTGACATCCACCTCTCACTTCTCAGGACGACAGTTTAGCGACGCTCCGCAATGATCGAAGCGAATTTTGTAGAGACTCCGAGCGCTCTGCCTGGAAGGCCAATGAATGGCAGCGTTCACCGGCAGCCTTCCGAGTGTATGATCCACGAGCCCCACATGCCGTAGATTGGAGGAACATCACAGAAGGTTTCCTACGCGGTTTGGTGAGTCAATATCGTACTCCAGACACTCCATGATACTCCATGTATACTTCATTACTGACCTCTGTTTTGACCGGAAACGACCCTATGTTTGGTGGTTGGTGGTCCAAAATAGAGGTCCAAAACCTGGTTTCTCGGATCCAGCGGACCAGTCATCCAGTCATCCAGCGAGGATTCCGGATCATGAGGTCTCTAAAATATTTAGGGATGGCCAGACAAATGGCCATGAAAACTCCTTCCCTTGATTCACCCAATCGGTGTTATGATGTTGGAATCTTCCTTAGTTCTGCAGTTGCTCCTACCCTGCAACCTGCACAAATGATTTGCCCTTGTTTTTTGAACAAGCCACACTTCAACACCTATACTTTGAGACCTTCAATGGATGAACTTCACTACGTAGTCTCCGAACATGGTCTTCGAACATGAAAACGGTTCTCAAGACTCCGGTCTCCTGCATTTCGGGACGTTCATGGCTTTTCGATTTGTGCTCCAAGAAGAACAGACCGGTGACATCCGGTGACCCTGGAGATGACTGGAGAATACTGGAGATTCCCTTTCCCAGACACTCCATGTAATTATGCCATATAATGGCATATATAAATATGAACTATATGGTATATGCCTACATTGACCCCCCAAACCACCCCAATGTAGGCATATATGGCATACAGTGTCTGGGTTAAAGTAGTGATGTGAGCTCAGCTCTGTCCAGCCGTCAGACGCGACAATCCCGGGACCGGGATGCTCCTATGATCCATCTGAGCACGGGAAGATAAGATCCGACTGTCAGAGGTTCGATGGCACCAGCACCCCAAGATGTCATAGACAGAGAGGGGGTCCATCTAAACCACCGAACTTGGAGGCCCTGACGTGCCATCTACTCTCAATCCACTATGACAGTGTGTTTATCATTTATCATCGAAGAGCCAGGTCTACTACTATCCCTGAGAGTCCAGTCATGACTCATCCACTACCAACGCCTGGTCGTGGTGGATTATGACTATACCAGACACAAAGTTCATGAATCAACATGGAAGTTCTCCCCTAAACTCAATCCACGGATGACACGTGTTCTCTTTCTCATTTTCCGGTCCATCCGTTCCTGGCGTTCCTTCCCTCCGTTCACCGGCGCCAGGAGCTCTGGTCGCTCGGGTCCCGACCGGATGAGAGGCGAAGACGGACGACGAAGTGGGCGACGTGGGCCACCGGGGACGTGGCCTTTTTGGGGCGACCGATCAACAGGTGAAGCATGGATGGAGACACATGGCGCGATGTGTGTTTTTTGAGTGAAACGTGATTTTAGAAGATCAACAGCCAAAACATATCAAAACATGGATAGATTTGTTCAATCTTGGATAAAACGGGATTTGGATGGGTAGACTTTCTAAGCAATGGACTTTTCAACGTCCATGAACATGGCTGGGGCAACCTCTCTTCTTCTTTCCATCTCTCATCACAGGGTGCACCTCCAGGCTTGATTCGGCGTGCTACGGTAGTGTGTTCGGGCAGTTTTTTTAAGCATCAGTGTGTGGTCGTGCTTGAAACGTGTTGAATGTTCGCTCGCTAAGTACATTTGGAATGCTGGCAGGATGCGTCCCAATGAGCTGCTCAACTGGTTCTTGCCTGGCATGGCAGGTGTCAGGTTCATCATGTGGAACAACTTGCTAGGGTACCCGATGTTACCTGCGACCTCATGTTACCTGATGTTGTGTTTCTTCCGTCCCCCCGATCCGTCAGAAGCCACCGGAACCCCAGTTCCCCGCTCAACCAGCCATCCGGGGACGCGGTGGCAGTCCGAAGCTCGAGGCGGGGCGGTGTCGTCTGATCTGGAGGCGGTCTGCGGGTCGAACGGAATCCGTGGCGATGACGAGGCGAAGGGAGTCCTCAGGAGGGTGAGGTTGGTTGATTTGAGGAAAATGGTTCGGTGGATCGGAGGGTTTTATATACTAAACTATATCATTCAAATCCAAAACCGTTGAAACGTGGCTCGGGAGTGGTGAACGTACACAGAAATCAATCATAACTCCTGGGTGGGGAATCAACATTTAGATTCTTTGAATCATTAAGAATCCTGAAGAATAATGTGCATATATACGTAATTTATGTAACGTTGAAACACATATTATCCTTATTAGAGTCGTGCATGATTTGACTCCTATGTGTCAGGCCATTCTGCCTGCAGAAGTTCAAGTTCATCCGTCGGATTCCCCTGCGGAAGGTGTGGCCACGTGTCGTTTGCGCGTGTCGTTGATGGTTTACGTCGTGCGCGGTCAGGACTGTTCAAAGACAAGCCTCAATGAATAAAATGCCGTTTGGTATGACTCTCATGCCACGGCCGTTTGGCCGTTTGGTATTGATGTGGCGCCAGTGCTTTTTGTTAACCCAAGATTCTTGAAGACTGCTTAGCTCTGCTTCGACTGCAGAGAGCGAAGTAAAAAGTGGTTCTTTCTCTTTATCGACCCAACGTCTTCGACTGTCCGAGTCGGACTGCCAGTGCTTTTCGACTGTGAGTCGGGTGAAAACGCCTTCGTTACGATCGTCGCTGTGTTCGCGGCTCGTGGCCTTTGTTTCGACATCAACATGTTGCACCCACCCACATGTTTAGCCTTAGGATCTATCGCTGCTGGATTTTGAGGTGGGAATTCCTGAATGGCTAGCTTTAAGTTCATAAATAATCCGGCACCTTTCGTTGTGGAAGCACTCGTCACGCTACTCAATGTCGGATATCGAACTCCGATTAAGAGGTTCAAAACCAATATGTTTGTTTTGAACTCAATAAAGCTCACAGTCACATGATTTGGCGGAGTCCGCATCCTCCCATACGATGGTCTCTCCCAATGATATGGCGGGTTCTTCTATTTGGCTCTAAAACCGGCTTCCCCAGGTTTGGACATGTGCCACCCCCCAATCCCTCCGGTCCTGTGAGTCCTGCGCCGCGAGTGGTGCTCCAGGTGAACCCGTCGTCTCCAGCGGCGCCAGGGAACGTCCAGCGCGTCCGGCGCGCGGGCTTTCCTCGCGCGAGGGGACGAGGTGTGCCGCTGAGAACGCTGTTTCGGGAGTCGGGGCGAAGAATTGGAGGGGTTTCAGGTCTTGCCATTCAGTGCCATTCCTGGAGAAGTCACAATCAGAAACACGTCATCAATCAGGCGATCACATCGCTACCAGCTTTTCACGTCACACCCTCGCAGCCCGAAGCCCGAAGCCCGTTCTCGTTCTCGACGCTTCGCCCCGACGTCTGACCCTTGGCGGATCGGACCCCCGGTGGTTCGGACTTAATGCTTCGGTCCACGGTCCCGGTTTTTCCGCGTTCCCGGGTGGTCGAACGGATACCTCTTGATGGGAGGTGAGATGAGGTGAGTATAGACGAGACCGTACCTTCCGAATGGGAAGGAACGGGAAAGGCCAACATCCGATTCGGATGCCTTGACCCAAAAAAAGGGGTGATGACTAGCAGGGTCTGTCCGAACTGATCTGAGTCTGTTGTTCAGTCAGTGTTCACCAGCAAATCACTATAGTTGAAAAGAGATCAACCAGGCCGGGACATGAAAAAGTATAAGTTGTCGTATGAAAAAAAAGAAAACCGTTCTTTTGCTCCGCTTAAACAATTGACCTTTGATGGTTTGTGCTTTTTTTGTGGTAGGTGGTGCCATCCACTTCTCATTTCAAGGAGTGTAGATTGGTCAGGTCGCTGCTATGCAGCCACCTGGAAGCCCTGGCTTGACCTGGCTTGACCCAAGAAGTCATGCACTGTCCCGTATTGTAGAATCTTGCATGATTCATAACCCTACGTGAAGAGGGGTTCGGGGAGGTTAACCAAGAATTCTACATTAAGCTCAACAACTTCAAGCCCTGGACGATGACCACGGCGGTCATCTCTCCAGAACGCGGTGTAGACACGATCTTGCCTGGACGAGGGTGACGTCGGTCGCATAATCGCAACACCAAAGCTGCGAAGAAGAACCAGAGGAAAGCGGTTTGCTTTTGGGGGGGGAGGACCAACAGAGGTTGAAGGACCGTATAGACTATCCCATAGGTATCCCAGTAGGGCCCTATAAGGTCACTCAACCTCTCTTGGGAGGACGGTCTTCGTGGATGAGGACGGTGTTCAGTCGACATGTCTTGTGGGGCTCAGGTTCGTTCCTTGTGGGGCTCAGGTTGCAGAGCTCTGTCTGTTGCTCCCCCCCCACAGTCGATGCCCATCCAGGCGTTCACGGTCGCCGAGCCACGACTACTGGGCCGAGGGCCATGAGGATCCAGGCTGAGACACGACCGCCATCTGGGACTGCCATAGAACAGCCGAGAAAAAGCCAGGGGTGGTTTGGTGGTTTGGCGGGTCAATGATAAGTAGATGATGGCAGTTTTATGGAGTGTTTGGGCTTTTTTGAAGTCACCGGTCACGTTAAAACCCGGCGGTTTTTTGGACAGCCTGTTCCTCACCTCATCTAAGAGGCTAGGAATTAGATACCTCAACAGGAGGGTCCTGGCAGAAGGTTCAAATCCAACTTCCAGCAGCATTGACCTGGGCAGGCCCCTCCTCTCCGACTCAGGTTGCACAGTGGGACAGAGTGGTTGTGATGTTTTTCTTGGTGTTGATTGGAGCTTGACATCGCTGTATAGTGATCCCCATTTGGGGTTCCATATACAGTATTATATATGTGTATATATATATATTCGTAGTGCTCCAGAGCATCTCTGAGAAGGTATCCGGAAATTCATCTTCTGAGGATGGGTTCGAACTGAAAGTTGTCTCTGAGGTTGGGTCTGAACCCCGGGCGCGTGCTCAGCAAGTTCTGGCTCACATGCCCTTTTTTCACGAGCCTGAACGTTGTCTGGTATACTATATAAGCTTAGCCACCAAACGCCAACCATCTCATGTGGACCACATGCACTTACAAACGTCCATGTTTTATCCACCAGACCTTCGAATCGATGAGCCATGGGCCTTGGAAGGGATGCGGCACTACGTGGTGCGCCCTGGAGTGTCGCTAGCGTTCATGGGAGTTCTGAAATCATGGATATAGATGCATCTGTAGCATGAGATGCATGTACTTGGATGGTTTAGGGGGTGAGATGGTTGGACCTTTGACGTCGTCGTCCGCCCGGAGCTGCCGCGACTTGCTCACGAGCTCACTCCTGGCGCCCGTGCGAGTGCGAGCACGATGGCGTTGATCGCGACCCCTCTCAATGCTCTATAGGCAAAATTTTCACGTGCCTTAGCACAATTGGCAGTACTGGTATGTAGGATACCCTGAAGGTGGATATGAACCGGTTGTTCTTTCCTCAAAGCAGCTACCTCTCAGGCTTGGCAAGAGATCTGTCAGGCTCAGATCGATGACCGTGCTTTGGTGCACACAGTTGCCCCAGGCCTCCAAGTGCCTCTTCAACTTGCTAGCGTATATTTTTAACCTTCAAACACCCCAAAAGATGTTGATCGATCTAGAGGGCACTTGGAGCCCTATGGTCTAGAAATGTTTTGTGGGTATGTAATGTGGTAGCACTGTGTTGGTCAACCATGACCCACAAAGTTCGGACCGAACTGTTCATCGGACCAGTACTGTTGATCAGCTGAGTCATCAACCACCGGTTCGCCGCTGGGTGGCACGTGGAGGACTTCGTGGGCCGGTTGGTGACGTCTCTTTGCACTACCCAATCTAAAGGCGTCGAACAGGGTGGTCTACACGCCTGGTACACTGGTACACGGGGCTTCTTGGCTTCTGATACGTACGTAGTATTACTATTACTACTACCACCACCACTACCACTACCACTACCACTACCACTACCACTACTACTACTACTACTACTACTACTACTACTACGATGATGGCCCAGACGGCGACGACGACTACTACTACCACTACCTTCGCTAGGGCTTCAAGTACCTCCTCAAGACCCTCCAAACTTCAAACCCACCTCAAACACCTTCTTAAGGTACATGGAGCCCTAGAACTACTACGCTACTGTTTTCATCACCTCGGGGGCTTGAAGTGCCTTCTCTTTTAGACCCTGTAAACCCATCCCAGACTCGACACTAAACATCCATGAACATCAACTTGTAGTCAGCTGTGCTGACACATCTCAGGTTGTGTGCTGCTGGGAGCTTGCAGACCTTCAATGAGACCTCCCATGCCAACTGAGCTGACGCGCTTGGTGGCGAGCTCGTCGTTGGCGTGAGCACGTGGTGAGCATGTGAAAACGGCGGGCTGCTGGAGGGTGGCAGGAACAAGAATGGGTGGCACAAGATCCCTTGGTGAGGGAACACCACATTCGAGATGGCGACCATAGATGATTTTGGGGAAAGACTGTGATTCAAAACCCCTTGGTGAGGGAACATGTCCGGAAGATGAGTCAATTTTGGTTACCATTGATGATTTTTGGTGAAAACCATGTCCGCGTTAAATTCCTACTTTTGCTGAGGTTGGGTCCGGAGCCAAAGCCTGCTCAGACAGGCCTCAGACCCCAAACACCTTCTAAGAAGGTATCCGGGGAGTCTTTGGGTATATATATGTATATAATATATATATATAAAACGAATCCAAAGACTGGCTGTTTTTTTCTCTGGAAGACTTGCTGATCTATTCCACATGGGGCCAGTCAAGTCCTGTTGATAAAGTATTCCAAATGTCAAATGAACATGGAGTGTCATGGAATAGCATTCTGAATCTAGCTGGCGAGTACCCATTTTGATTCTTCTAAGGGGTCTCCACAGACTGGGGTCTCCGTTAAGGCATATCCCTAGGCCACAGGGCTCCCGTGCCATATCCTCAGGTTCGGTGATCTTCGACCCCCCTGGCACCCACCCCAATCCCATCTTCTCAGGAGCTAGTTGGAGCCCTTCCATCATCCGTCACGATTACTCCAAGAAACCCTTTTGGCCCGGCCAGAAGCTCCAAAAAGCGAGCAACCATCTTTTGGCCGGAGGAGGGCTTCCCTCCACCGAATCCTAAGGGGCCATGCCATCCACCTTGCCAGGCACCGTGCCGCAACCCAACTCGCCGAAGGCGGAGAGCTTCGCCGCGATGCCGCGGGAAAAACCGCGACCGGCCGCGTTTTCTACGGTGGTGGCGCGGAGCGGCCGCCCCGTGATTTGCACCCAATCTGATCAGCTCCAAGCTGACATGCGAAATCTCCAGACTTTCCAAATCGACCAGTGCGAACCATAGGGTTGGAGGCCCATCGCTAATTTAATAGAAACAAAAAAATGGAACAGGCAGAACGGTTAAAGCTTTCAAAGGAGGAAGAACCCCCTCACAGGTAAACCTGTTTGGGGAACAAAAGGAACAATGGAACAGGAGACAAACGGTTTCAGCGCCCTTGCTCTTCTTAGCCTCCAGTGCACTTGCTGGAGGCTCGGAGCGCTCGGTCGGGGACCGGCCGTTTGGGTGGACGAGGCGCTTTGGATGGGTGGGAGGGGGGGGAGGATGAGTGCGCGTTTGGACCATTTGGAGAGCGCATTCAAACCCTCCCTGCGAGCATCTCAAGGGACCACCTGACTCAGTGATCCAGACCATTCCAGGTCATCTCGACAGATCACCTGGAAGAATGAAGGACTCTCCAATGGCTCACTTGCATGGAGGATTCCTTCACATCCATTGATTCGTCTAGATTGAACCCAGATTTCGATGTCTTGGGACTATCGGCGATTGGATGGCGCACCTGTTTCGCGAGCCAAGACCCCCATGGCACACCTGCCCTGCTTCATATGATGTCTAGTGGCATTTGCATGCATTTGCACATTTTGCAATGTGGCCATTTGGGTTACGGTGCCTCCATATTCCAATACACACTACATCACTGTGATCACACTACCTCTAATTATATACGTCTTTTGATTGAGGGACTTGGTTTGCTCTACTCCACTGCTTTGCAGCAGGCATTGGTTGACAGGATTTGTTTTGAAAGGAATCGGCACTCTCAAGGAGTTTGGTTTACATGATTGGATAATTTATTTTGGTTATATAAGAAACCTGAAATCAATAACCTTTCATCCAGATGACGGCCACAAGCCTGTCTATCAGGATGATGACGCATCCCCCCAACCAATGGTGCATCACCAACATCATCTCAAAGCATTTTGTTCCTCAGCGTTTTTGTTTAAATGCTTTTGATCAAGATGATTTTGCGCGGCGAAAAGCGATGATTGACAGTCTCTATCTCTCTCTCTCTATTATATATGTGCGATGCTCCTGGTTCGTTATTTTTTCTTTCGTCACCACCCTCGCCTATATGTTGGGATCACGCGTGTCGCAACAATATCCCGTCGACGGGATATTCACCGCCAAATCCGCGGTGCAAAGGACTGCTTGGGAAGGACGAGTCATCCAGGTGACATGTCGGCGATTGAAAGGCCTCACCCGAAAAACCGGGAATCGGATCCCTCCCTGGACTCGGCGGCCCACCTCCGATCAGGCGGAGATTCGGCGAGCGGGTCCGGTCAGTCAGACCCATCGGTCGAGCGGGGGCATCGGTGGCAGAACTGGTGGGTGTGGTGATCTGAAGAGTCGCTTGGGTCCGCAGTCTTGGGTGTGTTCCAGTGGCCCTCAAAGCCATGAAAGATATAGGTTTCACTCGAAAAAAAGGAAGAACACCATACTGTAGGGAAAACCTGGTCTTTGATGGTTTGTGAGGGCCCTGGTTTTAGGGTGGTTCTACTCATCCAGCAACTGAGGAAAACATCGGGTCATGCTTTTGTTGAATGCCGCGTTGTCCTGCACTGGTCCTCAGTGTGGTATGGCTTTGTGCGGGCAATGTGTCTTGGGCCAGGGAAACACCCTACCACTTATAGATGATAAATGAAGGCACACTTCCAGTGGTCAGTGGTTTTCGAGATCCTTAAAGCCCAGGCCAATTGAGTGGCATGAAAGAAGACTGTATACGTGTGACGGAGCCAATTTCAATTTCTGGATCAACTGGACAAGACCACCGGCTTGAAATTTGGAGCTCCTCCCAGAAGCTTTGGCCAAACACGATGAATCAGCTGACAGATGATCGGGTCTCTGTGATGTCATATCATACGCTGGTGTCTGTGCCCTCTATTTCGGTGCATGGCTTGATCGTCGAATTGGAACCACTGGGAGGACATCAGAACTGCCTGGCTCCACAGTGCCTCCAAGGCCGGCCAGGACTCGCCGCCCGCAGAAGGCCTCTTCAAAGCTGGAGGCCGGTTGGGAGCCGTTGGGACTGCCCTTCCGAACGGTGGAAAACGGACTGCCAAGTCGGCAGCGAACAGATGGAGAAGAACAGGTCTTCCACCAGAAAACGAAGTCACACGCTTCCAGGTTGTGACCAGAAACTGCAGTCACACGACTCCAGATATTCACATGTGCTGTGAATCATGAGATGATGCACATTTGCTAAAACCTTTGGTCCCTAGCCCTGCACAACAAGCAGAGGTGGAGGACACCGGACACCCATCACCCCGGTTGGAGGGATGGGTCAACCAAAAAGTTCCACCAACCGGGCAGAGTTGACCGTTGATCATGGAGATTCATCAACCAGAGTCCCAACACTGGAAATAGCTCGAGACGAACATGTTTCAATCCTTGCCACTCTATTTGTCCAGTTCAGCCATGAGACTTTGACACCACCTCTCAGAAATTCCACCACAAGCCCTCGAAAGTGAGTTCCAAGAGACCTTTCTCCATCCACCCGGACGCTCTTAAAACAGCCCTTGGTCCCGCAAAATCAGTTAAAGATTAACGATTCCAGACCCCTGCAGAGGATTCGGGCTTGTCCTCCGCCCGTGCTTCGCCGCTTGTCGCAGGCGCAGAAGCGGAGCTCGTTGGCTTCGGAGGTGGGATCTGAAGGGGGGTTCAAGTCGGGCAAGATTGCTTCTGGCTCTTGAGTCAACTCCACCTTCAAGACACGACAGATCATGGATACTTATACATACTTATATCGGGTTAAGGATAGTTCAGGTTAGATCTGGCTAGTAATTACTTCTCGACTTTTGGTGGATCCGGGTGGATCTAACCCTATATTGGATGGATATCAAACATGTACGAAGGCAGGTGGTAATGCTTTACTTGCACATCTCTCTCGCGGAGGATAAACCGATAGGTGGGGCACGGGTCGATTGATCAAACATATGTCCGAGGCTTCCCAGCACCATAAATTAAGATATATAAGTGTTTTTACCACACCACCCTTGTTTTTCTTAGGACTTTATACTGTGAACACAGCAACCATTTTTAACCATAGTCCTGGACTTCCAGGGTCTGATTTCTGTTTTGATGGAGTTGGAGCCGCAGAAACCCTGAAAAAACACTGATCAGGAGCCGGAACCCGTACATTTTTTGTGGGCTTGCTTTGGAAGGACCAGCATGGGAAGCAGGAGGTCCACAAAGAACTATACCAGTGCCTTTCCTTCAGAGGTGCTGGAAATTGTATAGTACGGTATAGTACATTCCCTTATGGAAGTGGACCACCGTATGGAAGTGGACCACCCTCTTATTATATATTTGTAGAGGAACATCATCTTATCAGGGGCCATGTTCCACTTCCATGATTGTTTGGGAAGGCCCCTTCCCAACCGATGGTTTTAGTCTATTTTGGCTCTTCCCAGGGTCTTCCCATTCTAATACACACTCACACACGCATTCAAGGGGTGCCCTGGGGACTACTCTACACTACTTATGGATCTCCTTGGACACCCCGACAGATGGACTAGGGGGGACGCGATGTCCAGAAACAACGCCCCAGTTCGAGGTGAGTGCTGCTTCAGAGAACGCACCCAGCGTCACTGATGCATCCTGGCTGAAGCCGGACTTCCTTTTTTTCGGAGAGGTCGGACCCATTCCCGAGAGCCGTGCTTCTTCTGTCGGACATCTTCTCTGCATCGCAAAGATGGCAGACAAGCTTTTCGTGGGCGACTTGCCGGAGTGTTTTCTTGGTGAATCATACTCATTGACATGAGCAGCACGAGAAATCTTCGGAAGGTGGTAATCAATCTATGTGCGCTTTGAAGATTTTGAGGGTCTCCCTCTTCCAAGCAAAGCTTGGATCAATGGTGGGGGCCAGGAAGCCTAGTGCAAAGCTTGCTCTGGCAAAACTGCAGCTTGAACGATGTGACCCATTCATATAGCAAAGCCTGATAAACAGAGTGCTCAATATCTGAGTGAGGCTGTTCTCAGGGGTCGGGTTGATTCATGCATGTTTTTGAAAGCTCGATCTATGGTGGCTTTTGGAAGGCTGCTGTATCTTCAGATCCGTATGAATGTGGGAGTTTGGCTGCAGAAAGTCCCAATGAACCAGCGCAATCTTTTTTCCCGCGTTCTTTCCAGGACCTTCAGTTCGTGACCTCAAACTGAAGTCTATAAGTGACCTCCTTCAGCTTAAGTGACATCGGATCTCAAGTGAACGGTCACGAAGGTGGTGTTGGATCCTGACCAACACCCTTCCCCTCGACTCGAAGACATCCCCGGTCGACTTGGGACGGGTCCCCAGCGGGCCGGGCGTGCCAGGGCTCGAGCCAAAGGACTGGTCCTGGACTGGAACGAGACGAGACAACCCGGACTGGTGACGAGACCGGACTGGTGGTCAGGATGATCCACCACCTTCTGTTGGTGTAAGATCTCTTTTGCGCCATATGGACTTCCCTAAGTGAATGACTGAGAACTGGCCACCGGGCTGCCAGCGGGCTCCCTCTGAGGCACTCATGGAACGTGAAGTCTCTCAGGCGTTTTGCAGAACTGGGATCGAAGGGAAGTACCAATTCGGTGAGTTCGGTGGTTTTCAACCATCCCTGGGAATCTGCAGCGGAGGTAGCTGCACTGGTAGCGTAGCGGGCTTTCAAAAGGAGGTGGTGGTAGCGAACACGATGCGAGCCCACCCAACCAAGGATCGCAATGATCCGGAGCACCTTTTCTCAAGTGCCGTCGAAAGGCCTCATAGGCCTGTGTAGCCACCATGGCCGAGTTCCGACCAACGATCCGTGGATCAAAAGGGGGCCCCCTGGTTTGGGCCGTACACAAACGGAGAAAACATGGTGGCACCTGAAACATGTCCCAAAGCTGCACCAGGACAAAAGGAAGTCAGGTGATCACCATGTGCCTCACTCAGAAGCTGGTGACCAGGTAGGTCTCTGGCAATGATTGCAAGCTCCATGAACTTGCCCTGCATGGACTCCCAGAAGTCGTGGTGTCCTTCATCACCAAGCGAGTCATCCATGTGGGCCACTGCGGACTTGCCAGCTTTCTTGTTCTTCTTGGCGGCCACGAAGTTGTGGTCAAATGCCACTGACCATCGCCAAATGGTCATGAACTTTTCCAAGCTGACACGACTGTCCGGCCGCTTCTTTGTTAGGCCGTCGGCCAAGTCATAATCAGATGCCACCCATCTGAGCTCACAGCCAACACGGTCCAAGTTGTCTCTCAATTGAAATGCCTGTAGGGCGGACCGAAAGTTGGACAAACCCAACAATGGGGATTCGTTGACCTCTATCGCGTCGAACCCTCCTCTCGAATCCGTACACAGGATTCCGCGCACCTCCAACACTTGCTTCTCCACGGCCTGCACCAGACCAGTGCGATCGAGTTGAGGTCGCCGACCGCCGGTGTGAAGGTCTGTCCACAGTACCCTCACCCTGAAGTTCTGGTCTTCGGCCTCGAGGATGCTCTGAACCTCAGCATCGTTTGATCCGATGCTTTTCCGTCTCAACTTCCAGCTCCTCCAGCTCAACAAGCACATAGGAGTGACCTGGCCTCACCCTTCGGCCTGTTTGCATGTGCTTGGTCGCCCATGGAGATGAAGACGATGTCATTCCATTTCTTGGCACCGTCCAAGGGGAAGAAGCGCAAGTGAGATGGTTGACGCCGGACTTCACCAACCATAGATTGGATCTCTCTTGCTTCAGACAAGGTGCCATTCACCGTGACTTCAGTGAGGAGGATGTTGCAGCGAGAGCAGAGTAGAGGTTGGGTCTGTATGGCGAGCCATTGAAGACCTCCGAGGGTTGTGCGGCAGGCAGCCACTTCTCGAGGTGTGAGCTTCCCTTCCTGCCGAAGTCTTTCAGCAGGGATGTCCAGATCTGGCAAGGCCTCCACATAGGCATCTTGATGCACTGTCACCATGAACTTGCCGTCCTTATAGGGCTTGGTGCGAACATCAGTGCCTGCATGCCTGTAGTCACGACGGCGAGCAGTGCCCCATTTGTAGGCAGCATCAATGCGAGTGCACATGTCTCGCCACTCTTGAGAGGTGTTGTCGCCAATGCGGTTGAAGTCGTCGACGTGGCCTCCCATGCATCCCAGCAACTTGGGATATCTGCCAGTGACATCCGTCTCGGTGGTCGAAAACCATGCCCACATTGAGCGCTCTCCTAGAACAGCTTGTCCACCTAGCTTGACCAGGGTGCGATGAAGATCAAGCCAAAGTCCACGTGGAGCGGTGGTGCTGCCATAGATGTTCCGAAGCACCTTGAGGATGCCTTCTTGGCCCACTCCCAAGGCCTCACAAAGCTCAGCAACGCCTGTAGTCCAGAGATTGGCGTCCGCCTCGGTGGGTTGAGTTTGCAGAAAAGCCGTTGCCAAATCCAGCCCTTCCAGTTCCCACTGGTGATGGCTTGCAAGCAAATAGATGATGTTGCGACCAATCATGGAGGTAACAGGTGCAGACGTCTTGAAGGAGCGATCGAGAAGACTGGGATGTTGGAAGCCCAGAAGAACGATTCTGGCCTTGGCCTTTTGCTTGGCGTCTGGCGTCACGGTCGTGTTGGGGTTGTTGGCCAAGTCATCCAAAGCTTCTTGACGTTCTTCCTCCGGGATGGCTTTCCAGACAAGGATCCATCTGGCTTTCAGGATGCGGTTGCTGTCATAGGCCCGCTTGATCTCCTCCGAGGAGAGACATTTCCTCACTGCCTCATTCTTGATGAAACTGGAGACTTCTTTGTTCTTGGCGTGAGTGAAGAGTCGTTGCAAGGCCGGAGTCAACTTGGATATGTTGACCTCAGAGGAGTTCATCTTCTTGATCATGTAGGCCACGGGGTTTCTCTCGAGGAACTTGCGTTGACGATGGGACGTGGCCTCCACCTCAAAGGTGACAGTCAGGATGTCCTCATTCTCTCTCACGAGCTGGTTCAAGCTGAAGGCTTGTTCCTCAAGAGCTGCATCGACTTGCAGCTTTTCCACCCATGAGAGATGTAGGAGATCATCTTCTTCACCACGAGCTCTCTTGGATGCCGGTTCTGGAGCAGTGTCTGGCTCGGTGGGTTCATATTCGTTGACCGACACCTCATCTTCTCCAAATCCAGGAGGATGCTGATCATCTCCTGCGCCAAGTCCAGACGCTGTAGGTCCAGAAAGTCCAGAGTCAAGACCTGCTGAAGAGCTGGGCCTCGAGTCCAAAGGCCGATCAAATCCAAGAGGTACGATGCTCTTCTTTTCAAGACCAAGCGGAGATGATCGATGAACCACTCGATAATCTTCAGGTGCCAACGTTGACTTGGTGGTCTGACGTCTGATGGGAGCATATGTGGTGGAATCAGGATGCCATGGAAGATTGGGATGTTCCGGCTCATTTTCGGCAGGAATCTCATCAGTGAGGTCCTGGTGCTCTTTCTTTGGCATGATGTCGGCCAGAGTCTTCCATTGGCTGATGTCTTCCTTGGATGTCACCTCCCAGCGAAGACGTTCTGGCTCAGTGACTGGACGAACACTCAGAGCAGAGCAGCGGAAGAGTTTGCCCTGCATGAGAACCCAAACCACATGCTTCCGGTGATCTTGAGGATCTTGATGTGGTAGTGCCTCAGAGAAGATGACACGACCAGGACCGATCCATCCGGGTCGTTGACTTTTCCTCGTACCACCACGTGGTCCTTCAAGTTCGGGATGAACTCGTCGCCAGATCTTCACAAGATCGGTGCACTTGTAGTCTCGAAGAGGTTGCCGTGCCTTGGAATTGGAGAGCCTCATCAAGATGCGTCCAGCTCGATGTTTGCGAGCGACTTGCTCAGCCTGATGTCGAGCTGACACCAGTTTGGAGTATGACAGTTTGTCCTTGATCTGGTTGAAGGTCATGTAGTCTTCATCCAACAGGCTGTGGTCCTTGCCGAAGGCCCATTGATGAGAAGTGTAGCCGGAAGCAGCCAGCACCAAAGTGACCATTGGGTCCTGATCCATGGCCTCCAGCTGGATTGCAGATGCTGTGTGTTTCAGATCTTTGATGGCATGCTCAACCACACCATGACTCCAGGCCTCTTTCTCGGCTGGAAAGTTGACGACAATGCCATTGTCTTGGCAGAACTTGGTGAACTCTTCGGACCCAAATGCCCTGCCATTGTCGGGAATGAGCTGCAGAGGCTTGGGATAGTGAGCCAACCATCCCTCGCAGAAGGCCTTGATGATCTGTTGGGCAGTCTCGGTCTTCATGACGAGGAGCTCAAAGGGAGGCATCACCGGTACGACCACTCGAAGCTTGGTGGCCATGTCCAGCATCAACAGTCCCTTCACTTTCTTCTTTTGTCCAGGCACCGTCCAGTCGAAGACATCTATACCGACGGTGGTCCAGGCTTGAGGTAGTTCGTGAGTTGCTGCTGGTGGCACTCCTCCAGAGCTTGAGCCGCCAGGCTTCAGGGACTCACATGCTGGGCATTTAAAGTTCTCAGCGATGCGGATCTTCCAGAGAGGTTGACCAGAATCTCGAAGAAGTCGGACTGTGTTCCGAACAGTTGGATGTCCAGCTGCCTTGTGGTAGTGTGCGACACGGGCAGTCCATCTCTCTGCTTCTTGTCTGGATGGTGGCAGTGCCATGGCTTCGGACTGAGATGAGGATGACGGAGCTGCTATTGCCTGATCTTGCTCTGGATCTTCAGCATTCTCAGCAGCCATGATGTCATTCTCATTGATGAAGTCCAGGGAGTTCACATCTTCCTTGGCCATGATGTAGCGAGATCGCTGTGCATTCACCATCTGTGACTTCCAGAAGCGGCTGATGGCTTCGACCATTTTCCATGGATAGAAGGCTGACCGGCTTGTCTCCTGTCCGGTAATACTCACATGCTGATGGATTGAGCAGCACGTTTTGGCCTTGAAGCGGCTCCAGAAGCCCTCATCCGTGGTGTTGATGCGCCACTTCTTATGAATGAAGCCAGTGCCATCGATGGACTTAAGGTCATAGCGACATCCATCTATACGGCATTGTTGCCAGGGAATGCACTGTTCTTCCATATATGCTTGTAGGTCTTGAAGTGCTCGTTGATGCCACCCAAGACATTCTTTTGGCCATTCCCAGTAGACGAAGGTCTCGGGGTCCTCCTCCAAGGCGTCCTTGATGAAGCGTGCAGCGTAGCCAAGCATGCGACGCCCTCGACGACGATAGCTCTCCAGCAGCTCTTGTCTTTCTGGACCTTGGTAGTTCAAACGGGTCCAGGGACACCACTTGGTGCAAGGAAGTGAGAACCACAATCTCTTCGGACGTTTCACCTTTCTCTCATGAGCCAGCCGCTCCCAAGTGGCAGGTTGATAGAGATCATAGCCTTGGTGAAGATTGACCCTTTTGCAGTGTAGTCCTTGGCGTTCCGAAGCCTTGGTGAGCCAGCTGTCAGGAGCGCAAGCAAACTCCCACAAGCCATCTCTTTGATCTTGTATGAGGTCCATGGCTGAGTTGGTCAGGGCTGTGGTCAAAGTGACGGCCATGAGCATCACCTTGGCCGCCATGTGCTTGCTCACTGTTCGACATGCTCCTGCTGGTAGGCCTCTGCCAGGTTCTCGGGATCGGTGATCACGTGCCAGCTCTGAGTCGACTGTGATGGACTCTGAGTGCTGGGAGGCGTCGTCTTTGCCTTGGCTGTGGGTGAACCGTACCCGTGATCGTTCTCGAGCACTTGATGCTTGTCCTCCGGGCGCAGAATGGCCTGGTTGATCGTGACCATGAGGGACTCCTCCGCCTCGATTTTCTTGAACACGGCAGATGTCGATGGTCGGCTTGTAGCCGCGCATCAGTGGCTCCAGCTGGTTGAGCATCTTCTGAACCATTGCCGGACTGTCGTTGCGGGTCGTGTTGCCATGCTTGCCCTCCCGGGGCACGTACTTCAGACGAAGATGGCACACTTGGCAATCCACCCATTGGCCATGAGGGTTGCTCAGAGGTTTGCCCGCCTGGTGCTGGTTGTAGCACGGCCATTGATGGATCTGACAACGAGGGTCTCGAGGATCTGCATACACCGCCCTCGAGGAGTCGAAGGGAGCCGGCGGTGCCTTCTTCGGTGTTGCCTCGGTCACCTGCTTGACCATCGCTTCCACATCGGCTGGAGTCAAAGTCTTGGGAGCCACTCACGCCGAGGGAGTGCGAGTGCGAATTGGGGCTGGTGTCAACGAAGTGGACACGCGGCATCGAAGACTGAGCCAGATTTTGCCGGTGATTCGCACCTGCTGCATGAACTCTTTGCAAAAGTGCTTTTGAACGATCGTGTACATCTGCACTGACTGTCATGAACATAAACGGTGATGAAGCTACCATATCATAATACTCCAAAGGATGAAAAAGAAGAGGTTGAAGTGCGAATGCCGTCTGTTGATTGGACCCCTTGTGCACATGAATAGAAGCGTGACCAGAACCAATATTGCCCATTGTAAGGTAGTAGGAGATGTCCAGGATATAGTGTCCCTTGTTGTTGGTCTTCAACTGATATGCTTCGGGGTGCTCTTCATGTGCATTCAGGGCCAATCCCGTCATGAAGTCGATCACCATCGCGGATTCGGCTCCGGCCAAATGATCCATGCCCAAAAGTATTGGAACCAGGGTGCCCTTGTTGGTGTCAAACTCAGGTGGGTTTGGCAAAACATACAGTCCAAACGATCGAAGATGACCTGAAACCTTGCTGGAAAGGACCACTCTGTAAAGTGCCTGACCCCATCGACCATTCCCGAATCGAAAGTACGGCCGCGCATACGGTTGCACGTCGATGGAGGCTCCAGGATCAAAGCTCAGCAAGGCCTGGATCAGCCCCTTGACTGATTCTTCAGGGCCTGCCGAGGCAGTAGCACCGCTATCAATCAAGGCCTCGCCAGGAGAAACATTGGCCGATGAGGCCGCATTCAAATGCTCAGTCGTGAGACTCTCATGAATCTCAAGCCCGTTCATGTAGAAGGGCTCCATGGCATAGGCATTCACAGCAGGTCGGCCAAGAGCTTTGTTCTTGCTCTTGCCCTTTCCCTTCCACACGGCATGTAGGTGTGCAGGTCGTGAAGGTGACTTTGACTTGGGTTTGCCCTTGCCCTTACCGATCATGTACGTGTCATACACTGGGGAGTAGTCCGTGTAGAAGGAGCTGTAGCCCTTAGACTTACCCTTGTGGAACTGGGGGTGCATGCGATCTGGACATTCCCGTGCCAGGTGTTGAGTTGACCCACACTTGAAACACGCAGGACGAGGTTGTCCCTTGCCGGTGACATGACCAAAGCCACGATCTTTCCGAAGAGCAGCTTGAGCACGTTGGGCCTCAGTCCATGTGCGCTGTTCCAAAGCCATGCCATCAGCTGACTTTGAGATGTCAGCTTCTGGTTCACCTGAGTCCGTCTGGGTTTGAGCCTGCAGTTCATGAACAGGCTCTTCATTCCAGGACTCTTCATAGGCATGGAAGCCATAGTTCTCGTCAAGGTCATAGTGTCAGGAGCTCCAATCATCAGTGCCCACATAGGCATGCCAGTTCCAGCTTTCATCATCCTCCCACCAATCATCATCAGCTTGGGAGGCATAGAGCTCTTGAAACATTGCTTGTTGGCCAAATGAACCAGTTCTACCCCCCAACAACTGATCATCCCAAAGGGTCTGAAGAGCTTGGGTGACAGTTTCAAACTCCAAGGAACCTTTTGTGGTGGAAATGATGTCACGTTTTTCATCAGGGTTCAAACCAGCGGCTTGAAGAAGTCTGAACCCCCTCAACACTCCCAGCACAAATGAATCCGCTAATGAAAGTTCGTCGAGAGGCTTGGCCTGAGCAGGCGAGGTCTTCTCCACTGCTGGAGTTCCAGCTGAGCCATGGTGACTAGGCGAGCCACCCATGTCTTGAGGGCCAGCGGCAGCAGATGTCGTCGATGCTGAAGGCTTCGACTTGGGATCTTGATCCTCCTTGGAATCTTCTTCATCATCAGCGGGTGGCTCCTCGGAGTCTGGCCACCAATCATCCCATTCATCCCATGCTTCAGCATCATCAGGCAAGCCGAAGTCTTTCTCCTCCTGCTTGATGCCAAGCTTGTCCTCGTGGAGCCTTGAGATGGCCTCAACGAACTCGGAATAGCCCAAAGCTTCTCTCACCAGGAAGGAATTCATGGCTTCTCCCTGATGACGTTTGAATGAGAAGTATTGGCTGCAAATCGCAGCCGCATTTGGAAGGGCTTGACGTACCAAGGGGCTCGCGGCCAGAAGACGAAGCAGCTTCTTCGTGCCGCCAGAGCTGTCAAAGTCCACATTGGCCCATGACATAGCCAGGAGCCTTGCTGGACCGGTGAGGCGACTGATGATCTTCGTGGCACAATAGCGTCGCTTGTGCTGTGGAGTAGCCCTGAGGTACCATCCTACCTCTCGAGTGAATCGCCTCCAGGTCCGAGCTTCCCCATTCCACGTGGGGATATGTCCGCTGTCTTTGTCAGCCATGGTGCAAGGTCAAGGGTCCAGGTTCTATCACCTGGAAGTGCAAAACAAATGAAGTCCCACCCAAATGAGGTAATCGAGGAACACTATGTCTCGTGCACTGAGGTGGAAGAAAAACCAAAAGCTAGCTTTCCGAGGAGATCGAATCCCTTGAAGATGTTCTCAACTATAGGAAAGCAAAGTCAGGTCCCTGGAGCGGATTGCTCCGCTACCAATGCAGCGGAGCTAGCTGCACTCGTAGTGTAGCAGGCTTTCAAAAGGAGGTGGTGGTAGCGAACACGATGCGAGCCCACCCAACCAAGGATCGCAATGATCCGGAGCACCTTTTCTCAAGTGCCGTCGAAAGGCCTCATAGGCCTGTGTAGCCACCATGGCCGAGTTCCGACCAACGATCCGTGGATCAAAAGGGGGCCCCCTGGTTTGGGCCGTACACAAACGGAGAAAACATGGTGGCACCTGAAACATGTCCCAAAGCTGCAGAATCCAATCGATACTTTTGTCAGTCTTCATCCCTGAAACCGGGTTGAAACATGGTTTCAATTTTATTCATAGAGTATGTGATTTGGTTTGATTGTTGTATTCATGATACTTGGCCAATCATGCAGTATTGGAATCACTGTTTTTGCACGTGTTTGGATTCATAGGAGATTTGGGAGACCCCGAAGGGTCGGGTTTGGTGCCTTTGTTCGAGCGAGGCCCAACGAAGGAACCAAAGAGAGGAACAAAAACGGTGATAGGAGTCCTCTAGATTCTGATGAGAAATCCTTTGAAGACTTGGGCTTTTGAGTCAAAACCTGAAGCCCTTTTGACCGTAGTTTGATCTTCCTGGTAGCCGATCCTGTTCATGATGAACGTGGGAAACACCAGGGTGCCCCACTTTTAGGATCCACATTTCGGTCGTGTTTGTACATACATTCCGGGGCTCCAACCCGTGGTTCAACGCATCGTTGTTTGTTCAAAGCACTCCCGGCATCAACCGGTTGCATGACACCCCCCTTCTTTCTGGTCGAGATGAGAACGATGAGAAAGACTAAGAGCTTTCCTGGAGAGGTTTGCGCTGGCCTCAAAGTATCCCCTCACTTTGCCCTACTTGGCTTCATGTTCACAGCGCGAAGCGTGCCATCTGCGGAGGCGAGTGCAGCTTCAGAGAAGCTTCCACTCAGTGTCGAAGATGTATCTCAGCAAAGAGGGGAGACATGGGGAGACCATGGCCCTAGGGCTTCAACTACCTCCGTTTCGAAGATGGTTGGGGTGGGTGCCAGGGGGTCTAAACACCTTCTGAGGATATGGTTGGAGCCCTAGGGCTGGTTGCTTTCAAATTTATTGTATAAAAACATCTTGAAACCTTGGACCTGCAGGGCCTGGGCTGATGAATCCATCCCACCAATCAATCCGAATGCCAATCGGAATGTGTTTAAAGCGTCAGATGGGTCGAAGCCACTCCATCTTTGCGATCGGATCTGAATGTGGCATGTGAGGAAGGGCATTTGTGTTCATACCATACCCCTGTGAATAAACCTTCATGCTTGCGGTCTTAGACCATCTTAGAGCCTGCAAAGAAAGTGAATAAGCACTATAATCCCCTAAAAATTACATTTGGGAGGGTCAACCTCCAACTGAACACGTTATATATTGTTTTTTTTGTCCCACCCTTGTATTCTTATAGGGGTATGTTTTTGAGGGGGCGACCTTCAAGGCACGTCTTGCAAGTGTTGGCTTAGACCCCGGGTCTAATATGGCCATGGTCTAATGATTGATATTTATCATGCAATTCAACTTCCCCTCGAATTGATATTGATCGCTTCTATCCCATCCTGGCTACATAGCGGCTACCCCTCCAAGACGTGTATCACGTGGCTCGTGTGCATGCGACGTGTCCATACGTGTCCTACATCTGAGTCCTTTCGTCCGAAGGAGGCAGCGTCTGAACGACGAAGTTTGGAGGTGGGCGGAATGCATTGACCACTTAGACCTCGCAGGGTCTGGTGCTTCTCCACGTATGAAGTGGTTCTTCTAGCGTTTGGCCACAAGCAGGGCGAAATCGGAGCCCGCAAGAGGAAATTGACAAATCTAGGCCCTGGGCATTAGAGAACTGAGCCTATTGATAACTCAAAACCAGCCTATGTGTAAGTAACATGTCAGTCCCACTGGATTCTTTGGGGCGTTTGTAATGGCTGTGTAGTTGGACGCAGAGCTGTTGGTTCAGTGCAGTAGAGAGCGATTTTTGCCCGAAAGTGTCGAGAAACGCCAGCGCCAATGCATGTGGAACTCCTTGGTGGGAGCAAGCAGCCCTTTGTTTCTTTAAATGGTACGTTACCTTTGTTTTTCCGATAGTCAGCATAGACAGCATATTATATACTATATATATTACATACCCAGACATGGAACATTTGCCTACACTAGGGTTGTTTTGAGGGATATTCCACACATGGATTGTCGGGATCTGTATATAATGTTGAATTTTAGTGTCTCTAGATGCAATGATTGATGCCATGATGAACTCTATGAGGTTTGCTCTTGTGCTCATGTTCCCATTCAGACCATCTCAAAAGATCTATAGTGGATTGAGAGATGGCACAGACCCCAATGTCGGTGGTTTATATGGACCCTGAAGGACATCATGGGGGAAACGTGCCCTTTCTCACCTCTGAAACCACTGGTATTGATTTGCTTGCAACAGGTGACGTAGCCCAGCGTCTCCGCGCACAGTCGCGCGAGCCGCCGCGTCGTCTTCGCGGCGCTTCGTGAGGAGTCTCAGAGGACGACAAGCGCCAAAGATGTGTCTTGGTAACACGAAGGTCGGTGGACATGAACCAGAGCCGAGAGGCTACACTCGAAGTGGACGTGGACCCGGGAAGTGTGCGGGTGTTTTTCATGGGAGACCCCTTCTGTATGGAGCGAAGTGAGCGAATGAACCCAGACCCCGCCCCTGGCGCCCCGCACTGCTCTTCCAAATCACCAGAACTGGGTTGCCAGACTGCCAGATCCGCAAAAATGTGGCATGGATGAACATCTACATCGGATTTTCCACCTAAGAATCAATCAAGGACCCTCAGGCGAAGGTTTGGTTCGGGCCCAATGCCCTGTTGTGGATGGTTACACTCCCTATAGAATCAGTGGGTTCTCCACCTGCCAGCACTGGGATGTTGGTTCCGAAATCGGAGATGCATTTTCCATCCACATCACTCACCCATAGGGTCCCAGGGAACCTCTTTTTCGGATGGTATTGGAGGTGACTTCCAGAGCGTCTTTGGACATCCGAACAAGATGGTCCTGGACCCTAAAAAACGCCTAGACTTCCAAGTTGGAACTTCCCCTTTTCATCCAAAAACATGGTTGACCTGGGTTTGTAGTGTGTTGATTCAGTAAAAGCCTCTTGTACATGAATGGTGCTTGGAAGCCGATTCTTCGGGTCTACGGCATGAATCGGTCGGTCACAGCACCGGTTTTCGCGGTCACGATCGATCCAGCGCCTCGCGCTGTGTGTCCGGAACGAGGCGCAGGTGCTGGGCGACACGGCAGGAAGAAGCTCAGTCACGGCCAGGGTCCCTGGAGCTCCAGGGAGCAACAGAAGTGGAGCGAGTGAGAGAGCGAGGGGCTGAGCGAGGGGCGTCAGCCGCCCCAAAACGGATGCCTAATGTAGACTCTTGATTTGGGACCCCGCCCCAAGCCTGAAGAAGTTTTTCCATGTCTGGGGGAGAACTTCTGTGCCTCAAGAGTCTACATCACATACTACTTTGGGAGACATGATGTCCAGTCTTGGAGTGTGGTGGTTCCACGGGAGGATGGAGTGACCTTTTGTGACGAGTTTCCCGGTGTAGCTGGAAGAGGGAGAGCGAGACCTAGGCGCTCCGAGTGGTGTCCCCAGTTCTCCGGTCCCCGGGGACCCTGCTATCCATGGTGTCGCAGAGGGTGTCACCTCGTGGAGCACCCGAGCACTCCCGACAACTCCGTCGTGAGCTCTGTGAGAGAAAGCGGTGAGCTGACCATTTGGGTCCATCACACTGTCCGGCGCGAGAGGTCTGGTAGATGGCCACTGTCTGGCGCACCATCCATGTTAGATCATGTCAGTATATTATATATATAATATAATTACCAAAAATACTTTTTTTTTTTTTTAAATATAAGTACTATTTAGTACCCCTGTCAGTCATCTCACTTACGCTAACCTGGCAAGTAGAACATATTGTTTTGAGGTGATGTTAGTAGACACTTTCAGTTCTAAGGTTCTAAGTTAACATAGGGAAGTGTATTGGCTCATAACCCATGGGTTAAAAAGGACACCTATTGGCTCATAACCCATGGGTTTGAAAGGAAGCCTATTGGCTCACATATAACCCATGGGTTCCAAAGGACACCCATTGGCTCACATATAACCCATGAGTTCCAAAGGACACCCATTGGCAAACATATAACCCATGAGTTCCAAAGGACACCTATTAGCTCATAACCCATGGGGTTAAAAAGGACGCCTATTGGCTCATAACCCATGGGTACCGATGGGTTTGAAAGGACACCCATAACCCATGGGTTAAAAAGGACACATATTGGCTCATAACCCATGGGTTTGAAAGGACACCCATTGGCTCATAACCCATGGGTTTGAAAGGACACCTATTGGCTCATAACCCATGGATTAAAAAGGACACGTATTGGCTCATAACCCATGGGTTTGAAAGGACACCCATTGGCTCATAACCCATGGATTTGAAAGGAAACCTATTGGCTCATAACCCATGGGTTTGAAAGGAAACCTATTGGCTCACATATAACCCGTGGGTTCCAAAGGACACCTACTAGCTCGCCTCAGCGACTTCACCCCCAGGTGATGACCTATTGGCTCCAAGTGGAGTCCATCAAAGGTCTTCCTCGCCTCGAGAACGCGGAGACGGTCTCGCTCTACGAGGTGAAGCGTTCACGGGACGGAGAAGCGAATTGCGTGGGATTCTCTGGGAGCTGAATGAAGGATGGATGATGAAGGCTGATTAAGGATGATGCAAGGGCTTCAAGATGTTTCATGCATGGAAGACCATGTCCAGACCATACCAAGACCTTTTGAGATGGGCGCACTTGATTTGGCTGAAGTCATTGAATGTCATTTCGAGCCAAGAGTGAGGCAAACAGTATTTACTGAATCTACTTCCAGCGTGACGACCCACGAATCAGGCTTCACACGAATCAGGTCGGTCTCCGATTCCCAGAACCTTTACTCTTCGTTCCGCAGAACACACACACACACACACACCTGTCGCGCTCCTCCGCCACGTCGTTGGCACTTCGCCGCATGACGCCGGTCTCGCTCTCCGCTGTGCCTCTCCGGTGCTCCTCCAATCGACGTGGAACGCAGCGGTCGCGCGGAGCGAGGTGCACAGCTATTGGATGGAGCAGGGTGGTCCAATGGTCCGCCTGGCCGAGCTCCAAGCCCATGCAGCCGACGGAGGTGAGGAGTGTCGCGTGAGGCCGGGAGGATGGGAGGGAGGGCTGAATTCAGCGGTAAGGAGGCGGTGGGAGGTACGGCGTGTGTGGGGTGTGGTTTTTGGGAGCAGAAAGAGATCTCCCAATTGAAAGAGATTAACATGTATAGGCGAACACCAATTCATTAATTGGGCCAGGGAATCTCCCTATTTGTGAATTCAGGGGAACCCTCTCGCATTGGAACGCGAGATTGGTCTCGCTTTGGAACGCATGAGATATCATGAGATTAATATCGTTTTGCAAAGCGCTGCATCCATATGAAAAGGTTTCTGTTGTTTGTCTCTCTTTTTTTGTCCGGCTTCTTTTCCGCATCGTCCAGGTATTTCAGCGACCGCTGGTTTTGGTGGGCTGTAGTTGTCTCTGTGATCTGTCACTGGTTTTGGAAGATGTTTTCTTTATTGACAGTGGTGTTCAGTGGTTGTTTGTTGTTTCCTTCTATTATGTGTGATATGTTTTTTCAACTTTTGTTTTTTTTGTCTCCTGCTTTTTCCTTAGCATACCTTTTGTGAGCCACCCAGGGTAAAATTTAGAGCACAGAAAGAAGTTCCAATGTGACAGGACTAAACTGCAAGGATAAAGGAACCATGCATAAGGCCATAAGGCAGCATACATTTTTTTTTGTGAGCCACGAGGATAAGTTTTAGAGCAGAAACGCGCCATTCCAATGTGGCAGACCTAAATTGAGAGGACCAAGGAGCCATTAAAAAGAGGTAGCATACCGTAAGTGCGAGCCACCTGAAGGTTAAATCTAGATGAGAAAGGAGCCATTCCCAGCCACCCGAGCTCGGGTACACTTGTTCCAATACAGGACCCATTCCGGTAGCATACCTTTTGTGAGCCACTTAGCGGAGAAAGGCGCCATTCCAACGTAGCATACCTTTTGTGAGTCTGCTAAGCACCCAGCCCAGCCAGTCTTGGATAACGGCTGCAAGCCGCCTACATTCTCGTCTCTGTGCGCCCCTTCGTGCCAGAACTGCAGCGCATTGCAAGTGTATATGCGATTGCCAATCGGCACCGCAGCGTTGATATAACCCACAACAAGAGTGTTGCAGTAATTACTTTGTATGTCTGTGCTCGCAGCCTTGCACTGCCCGTATTTGGTTTTGTGACCCCTACCCAATGGGGTGGTCAGGTCCTCGTTTTATAGAGGAAACTGTTCGTGCGTCCCTGCTTTTGACAAAACTCCTGAAGCACCTGCAAAGCGGCAATGTTTGCTAGACAGGTCGGGTAGGTATAGATAGGTTAGGTAAGCTCAAATTAGGTGTTGAGTGTTGAGTTTTTTGGTCAGGTAGTTCAAATTAGGGCAGGGTTTTGCTGCAGGTTGGCTCCACCGTTCGTCTAGAGTCTATAAGATGGTTGTCTGGACCCCCCCACCTTTGCCAAGGCCACGCAGCGCCAGCAGATTTTTTTCCTTTCACCACTACAATGTTTTGCAACCACGCATGCACCTGCAGGAATCAGGTGTCGTTGCCGCTCTTTGAACCGGCACCTGGTGCTGGCACTGTGGCAGTGGAGGTCGTTCGGAAGGTGGGAAGCGGGTCGTTCGGCACCTGGTGGGTCTCCGGGAGACTCGCCAGACACGGATCCATGAGCCCCGGTGTTCAGACCTTCCATGAGCCGTGCTCGCGTGAAACGCCAAGGTTTGGAACTCGGTGCACAGAGAGCTGGTTCGGAGCTGTTCGGTGATTTGTGATAGCCGACGTCGAGGGCAGATGGGTTTTCCTGCATTGTTTGGTAAGCCTATGAGTCTGCCACTTCATACTATAGAAAAACATCGCGTTAGACACATCTTTTTTGGGACCGTGATTTTGCAATCAGGCTTGCACATGATATGTCCTTTGAATGTAGGAAGCACTTGGTTGCGAACATGTTTAACACTTTTGATATAGTTGTGAATCTGCAGCTGCGACAAAAGGCGTATTCTGGAAGACAAATCTTTTGCAGCATCCGAGTGTCAGATCCGAATCAAAACCTCCACAGACATCTGTCACTGTCACAAGGCTGCAGAACACCAACTGTACGACCGCGTGCATGTAGTAGGGAAGAAGGTTTTCCCTCCCTGATCACCGTCTCTGACTGTCTCTCTTTCTCTGTATCCTGAGCAAGTTGGACGTGAAACATTGTATTGTTTCAATATGTGATGGTCGTCCCCTGTAGGTATCAATTCGAAAACATGTGTGTGTGTGTGTGTGTCCACCCCTGGACAAAGGGTCTTCCACCACCACTCTTTCCATGCTTTTCAACTACCTTGGACAACCACCTTATATAGGCAGGGGAGTGGAGCAGGCCTGCAGAGCTCCACTTAACAAAGCTCTCTGCAGTGTCCTGAGGATATCGGCCAGGACGCTGGCCGACGTACCTGCAAACAACGGTTGAGCAAGCTGTTCCAATCCTCTTTTTGTTTCCATGGTAGTTCATGATACCTCCCACAAACTTTCCCACTTTCTCACACAGCTGACTTGTACAGAGGCTCGCCACCGCACACCTGTCGAAACATTGTTCAACAGTACAGTTTTGCTGACTCATGCACCTTTCCGTTCCCTCACCTTCCTTCCCAGCGGAGAAATTGAGCTTTAACGGAAAACCAGTGTCGAAGTGTGTCCCGCTCAGCCGTCCCACTCGGGTGCTGAGTGTGATCCCCGTCATAGGGGCGCCGATCTTGCATGGGAAAGCAACCACCCCAACGCACCACCACTCACTGGACTCTCACAGGAAGGCACCGACACCCTCACCGAATCAACTGACATACCGGCCGCCGGGCCTAAAAACGGTTCTTGAAGAATACATCAGATTTCAGCTTTCAGATTTCGGATCCGTCATGTTCACTTCTCCAAGTCATGTTTGTTTTTCCACGAGCCTGAACATACTTGACGGCTAAGTATTCACATGCCTGCGCTGCTAAGTATTCACAGGCCGGATGAATTCATCATGCACAACCCCCCCCCCCCCTCCCTACCCCCAGGCCTCCGTTGCTATCCCACCCGCTACTCGGGAAACAGAAGGAAATCGCACTCAACACACTTGTGTGTTGGTGCCTTTCCTTCTGTTTCTCCTAGCTATTGCTAGCTACCCGGGCGGTTTAAGACGAATGTCCCGCTCGCCTTCTACTTTCGTTTAACTAAGTGGGCCTCGTAACTACCCTACTTTTCTTTCTTGCCCTCTTAGTCTGCTCTTGTTTCGTTGCTTTTTCTGTCTTTCCCAGGCTTTTTAGGTGTCTACTAGTTCTTCGTTGCGCCAACAATTTGGCGCTTTTT